AGAGAAGATGGCAAGGAAGTAACAGGCAGTAGAGAGAAAGCAGAGCTGCTTAATTCATTCTTTGCATCAGTCTCGACACAAAAAGAAACTATAGCCCAACCTATCAAAAACATAGCTGAAGAAGACAGAATAGAAATAAAAATTAAAATAAGCAAGAAAATGGTAAGAGAAAACCTGATTACATCCCAGAATTCTGAAGGAGCTGGCAGATGTTATCTCACAACTATTGTATCATATCTTTAAAAAATCTCAGAGCATTGGGGAACTACCAGAGGATTAGAAAAGAGCTGATGTGGTTCCCATCTTCAAAAAAAGGGGGGGGGGGGAAATCAGACCCAGGAATCTACAGACCAATCAACCTAACATCAATACCTAGGAAGATACTGGAGGAAAAAAATAAAAAAACATCTGTGAACTTCTAGAAACAAATAAAGTTATAACTAATATCAAGCATGGGTTTGTTAAAAACAGATCAAGCCAAACCAATCTTATTTCATTCTTTGACAAAGTGACTAAATTAGTAGATCAATGAAATACTGTGGACATAGAATATTTAGACTTCAGCAAGGCATTTGACAAAGTAGACCACAACCTACTTCTTGGTAAGCTAGAAAAATGTGGGATAGGCAGCATCACTACCAGATGGATTTGTAACTGGCTGACAAACCATATTCAACGAGTAATCCTTAATGGTACTACATCCACTTGGAGGGAAGTAAGCAGTAGGATACCACATGGTTCTGTCTTAGGTCCAGAATTCAATATCTTCCTAAATGACTTAGATGAGGGAATATAAGGGGAACAGACTTGAACAATGGGCCCTATCCAATAACATGAAATTTAATGTGGAGAAAAGCAAGGTTTTCCATCTGGGCAGAAAAAACAAAGGCACAAGTACAGATTAGGTGAAACCTGGCTCATAAACAGTAACTCTCAGATGTACCTTGCAGTCCTAGTGAATGATCACATAAACATGAGTCAGCAGTGTTCGGCAGCAGCCAAAACAGCTAATACAATCCTTGGTTGTATAAATAGAGGCATAGAATCAAAATCACATGAAGTATTAGTACTGCTTTATAAAGCCTTAGTATGACCACATCTGGGATACTGCATCCAGTTTTGGTCACATTACAAAACAGATGTAGAGACTCTGGAAAAAGTGCAAAGAACAGCAACTAAGATGATTAAAGGAAGAACGGTTGCAGGATTTGTAGTACAGGCATTGTACAGGTAATCGTTTAGGCCACGGGTCAGCAACCCGCAGCTCCGGAGCCGCATGCGACTCTTTGAGCCATCTCCTGCGGCTCCGGAGCCTCCTCCGCCATTTGCAGAGAGAGAGAGAGAGAGAGAGAGAGAGAGAGGCACTTACACTTCCCTTCTCTCTCTCTCTCTCATGCAGACTTGCCCCCTCGCAGAGCTCCTGATTGGCCCCATGCCCAGGTGTCCTGCCCCCTGGGAGAAGAATGGCCAGGAAGGCCTTTTCCTAGGCTGGCTCCGTCCGAGGTGCATGTGGCCAGGGAGCCGCGCAGGGAAGCCCCGGGATCCCCACTGGGAGAGGCCCGGCAGAGCCTCCGTTGAGCGGGCCAGCTCTCCCGCAAGCCGCAGCTCCAGTTGGCCAAGCAGCAGCAGAGATGGAGACGGAGGGTGAGTGGCGGGGGGAGGGAGAGGGCTTCGAGTCCACGGAGCACCCCCACAAAGTGGCCGTGGGGCAGGTGGCATGTCCCCCTGAATTACTTGCACCAGGCGGAGGGGCAGCCGAGCCGGCCACGTGTCTCCCCGAGCTAGGCAGCAGTCCCGGCTGGGGGGGGCAGCATCGCTTCCTCGGCCGTCCCAGGGCTGCTCCCTGGGCAGCTGAGCCGGCCACGCGTCTTCCCGGGCCAGCCAGCAGTCTTGGCTGGCGCGGCGGCCAGCGGGGGCATCGTTTCCCAGGCTGTCCCCGGGCCGCTGAGCCGGCCACACGTCGTCCTGGGCTGGGCAACAGTCCCAGCTGGGGTGACGGCATTGGTTCCTGGGACGTCCCCGGGCCGCTCCCTGGACAGCCGAGCCGGCCACGTGTCTCCCTGGGCCGGTCTGTGGTGCCCCGGGCGCCTTTCAGTGCCTTCTGCCTCCTGCCCCCCACGCTTGGCCTTCCTGGGACCTCTGCCCATTTTCCCACGCCCGGAGCAGGAGAGGAAGCACTGCTTTCTGGGCATCGGAAGGGGCTTCCCCCTCCCAGCCCCCCGTCCACCGGGGCAGGGGCGCTCCTCTGGACCGGGACCAGGGCTGTGCGAATTGCAGCGCGCCTCCTTTCCCTCCGCCCAGCCTGGCCCGGCTCGCCCTCCTGCGGCAGGTGGACCTCGGCAGGATTTGGCCCTGGAAAGGCCGGGACGGACGGGTAGGCCGAGCAGCCCCAGCAAGGAAGCCGCTCCCGTCCCGTGGCTGGCTGACCAGGAATCCCATCCGACTCGGCAGGGAGCTCGGGGGCTGCCTGACCACACGCGGGGATGTCCACGTCAGCCGCCTCCTGGCGGGCCCGCTAATTGTGGGCTCCCCGCCGGCTTCCTCTGTGAGTCAGGCGCCCGGGACTCCGTGGAGCCGCCCCTAATTGCGCCCAGGAGGGCCTGACCGAGCCCCGGCCTGACCAGCGCAGCTCCGAAATGCCACTTTCCCGAATTCTTTCTGCCTCCTGGGGGGAAGTTGCGCCTCGTGGCCCAATTATTACGTTATTCCAGCGTGGTCACTTAATTTGGATGCTTCTGTTGTTTTTATTGGTTTTGCTGTCATTACTCTTTTAAAAAGTTTTTAGTATTTTTAATTGTAATACATTTTTGAACTGTAAGCCGCTCAGAGTCACTGAAAGGGGCAACCAGAGATATTGAGGGGAGATGAAAGAGAGAAAGTGAGAAAGAGAGAGAGGGAAAGGGAGAAAGAGAGAGGAAGAGAGAGGAAAGAGAGGGGAGAGGAAAGAGAGAGAGGAAAGATAGAAAGAGAGAGAGAGGAAAGAGAAAGAGAGAGAGGAGAGGAAAGAGGGAGGAAAGGGAGAGAGAGACCCTTTTGACATCTAAAATGAAGATAACACTGCATATATCTTTTTAGCATATATATATCTTCAAATCAATAGACTGTGAGCACCAGGAGTATAATAAACTAAAAAAGTTTAATAACACAAATACACACCAAGCTTTCGTCGGAATCCTTCCGACATCATCAGGGCTAAACTTTTTTAGTTTATTATACTCCTGGTGCTCACAGTCTGTTGATTTGAAGATGATTACACCCAGGAGTCACGCTTTTAGTTTCAATGTTATTAACCATATATATATAGATGTCAGCAGTTATTTCTTTTTTCAGTTTTTCTTTCAATAAAAAAGTTGTTTTTGTTATATATTGTTATAATTCCATCAAAAACTCTTTAGGGTATAATCTTGACCGTTTTTTAGTTCCTAGATTTGTCCAGACTGTAGTATTTTAAATCAAATTTTAGTATATCTCTTTCCTCCTTAATATTAATTCGCCGCTTCCATCTGTAAGGGAATGGGGATATACTCCCCTCCCTTCACTTCCAGAGGTTTTTTGCTTTGGGGATCTTTCTCAAGGATTCAATTAGTAGATAGAAGAAAGAAGATAAGTACTCTCACCAATTCCAAGCACGCTGTTCTCTGGGACTTCGGCTGCAAGTAGCTTGGGTTAGACGCCGATCTCATGCTAGCCTTTCTCCTGTCGGGTTTGGAGGGCTTCCCCCAGATCAAATGAAACGATTGCTGTCGCTTTGTGATCAATGGGGCACCCCTCCTTCACAGTCACCTCTTTGGGGCGACTTCGGACCCATCTAGGATCCCGACAGGATGAAACTAGCTGTGGGGAGCGGAGGTCTGCTCTCACGTGGCCATGCGCTACAGGCGCAAAACCGAAAGACTGAATGAAAAGAATTACAATTTAATACAAACAGGAAAAAATCTACAAGGTTCTGATACAACAAGAAAAATGGAATGGACTGTATAGAACATACATTTTCATTTTATTTCTTTGGTAGTGCTTTGCCGAAAGTGTTTTGAATGTATTTTAACAAATTGTAATTATCTGAAGCAAGGTCTGACTAACATTTTGCCCATAGCAATCTAAGAGTGATCAAGAAAAAGTGAAAATTGTAATTATCAAGTTCTATAATTGCCAGAACAACATGCCTTATTATTCTATGCACAGGATTACAAAAAGCACACTGCCAATTTCCATACTATATTTTATTACTAAACTGTAGATACAGCCAAAGCTTTTAAAGATGATTATAGTTATAGGTAAACTAGCATATGATCAAGTGTGAATGCTGATTGCTGTTAATATGTACAGTATGAATCTAAATATAAGTTGTATGCTGACATTGAACATAATATCTTAAACATAACATAAAATGTTTGTTATATTTGTAGTCAATACAAAAGATACATCTATACAGAACACACTCATGAGATAATTTAATTTACTCATGCAGAACTCTGCAGGTTCTCAGATTTATTCAACTATTCAAGAATATCTTTAATATAACTATCTATGGCCACCCACAGCACTCCATAGATAAAAACTCCATACTGAATATTAACTGGAAAAAAATTCCTGAATGCTGAGTCTAAAGCAATCATACATCATTCCTGCTGTGACAAATCTTGTCTGTACAAAAATAAGTCAACAATTGATAGCTGCTCTTAGTATTTCATTGCAACAAGATGCCTATCAATCATTCTAATACAGCTATCTGCGGCAGGATTTTTCCTAGGTAACACATCTTAAAAAACTCAACGCTGATTATAGCAAATGTCAGGATATACTACTATACGATCCGTTATCTTTAAATGGTATCAAATCAAATATTTCACTTTATCCTCCTCTCCTGTAAAGATTCGTAATTGCTGTTTTAGAATAAACCAATATGTGAATACAGAATTGTGAGAAATGCATATATATTGGTAAATGTACGTCTGCTTAGCCAAATAATAATAGTCCATAGCCCTTTAAATTTTTGCAAAATAATTTTCTTGTAATAGAAACTTCCTAGAAATAGAACTAAAACACTACCAGGTTTGTTTTTTTTTAAATCTTACAGGCTAATTAAATGTAGACTTAAATATATTATATTATAAATGAATTATAGTTCTAGTTAATAAATACTGCAAAATAAAGTCACAATGAAGAGCATAGCCATGAGACCATATCAGAATTCATCTGCAAATCAAATACATTCAAAATATGTTTTCTGAATAAGGAACCATTCACTGTTCTATTCATACTCAGCATACTTGACTTTTGTTCCTTTATACATGCTTCTTTGAAGTGTTCAACTGCGGAGCTACTTTTATTTTGTTTGTTTTCTTCATTTTTCAAAGAAAAGTTATTTTCAGTATGTCTTAGAGCTGATGATAAAACATGTTGGAAAAATTCTGTTTCTTTTATTAAAGTCAGTCCAAGCTGTTCAGCAAGTAGATTCTTATTTCCTAACTTCAGTAATTTTATTTTGCAAGTTGGTGGTAGCAATCCAATGAAGGCATGAAGGCATTGGAACAAGGCAACTTGATGTCTGTGAAATAGATAAGCGAGTCAGTTGTCACTGTGTATTCAGTGAACTAATGGAAAGATTTACATGGAAAACAAAATTCTTCATGGCAAAGAAACACAACTCTACTTTGGCTGAAAAAATAAATTTTATCTTTGGAATACCGGTAAATGCCAAGTATAAAAACAATGTTGAAAAAGCCTCAGTAATTGTTATGCTGACTACTAACACCTGTCCTATATATTCAAAAACTTGCAAAATTTAGAGGCAGCATTATGTACCATGTTCTCATAACTGGTTCTGGTTGTTCTCTAAGATTCATTTGTCATTTACTTCTTAGCTGTTTCTTAGCAGCACTATGACAGTGAAGAGATTATTTATCTTCCATAACATTACATAATAAAAAATTAAAGGTTGATTATTAATGTTAATTCTGAAAAAAAATAAAGTTTTCTTTTCAAATTCCTATTAACTTCTCTTATCAGATACTGCATTAAGCCAGTAGTTTTTTTTTATGGCACCTTATGTGAACTATTTAATTTTTTTAAAGAAACAAATGAATCACTTGCTTATTTAGCAGATACCAGAGGGACAAAAATGGTCTTTTAGGGGTCCTCTGTCAGCAACATATACAATTATTACCTCTACAAAATAATTCAGCACAATTGTAATACTCCCTATGAAACTAACAGTCTTTATAAGCCTTTCAATGGCTGCTACCTGCAGAATACTGTTAAAAATCCTTCAGAAGGTGTTTTTAGATTCCACTTGAAAAGAGTGCCATTCAGATTTCCAGATTTCCAGCAAACCATATAATCAGGATATTTCTTGATTGGTGCACACTCCATTTGTTCCAATAGCCACTTGTTTACTGGAAGCAATGTGCAAACAGAGGAGATTATTTGGAAAGAGGATTTGTGTGATATTGCACAGAGTGCCAAAAGATCTTCTGTAGAACCTGCAACACCAAAAGAAAAAAACAGTAACAAAGCTAAGCAGTACAATACATTTAAAATTGATATGTACTTAATTTTGTTTCTAAAATGTATTTTTATTCTGTTTAGATACCATTTCAAACATGACAAGCTTTAACTGGCATACAAAAATGCACAATAATATATAATACGTACTCTTAATACTACAATGAAAGCATCTAATAAAATAGCAAGTGCATGCTATTGCATCTAATAAAATAGCAAGTGCATGCTATTGCATCTAATAAAATAGCAAGTGCATGCTATTGCATTTTTTTTGGTTTAGGAAAGTCTCGTATTTTTGATACTTAGAATGTTGGGGTTGTAACTGAAGAAATTATAGGGTTGCTTCAGAATTATGAAGTTAATTTGCAATAAACAAGCAAATTCTAAACTTTCTTCCAGAAGCCTATAAAAACTGGGTACAAGTGGTCCTCAATTTACAACAAGACCATTCAAAGATACAATAGCACTGAAAAAAGTGACTTTAAGACCATTTCCCACACTTATGACCATTGCAGCATCCCCATGGTCACATAATCAAAATTCAGATGCTTGGCAATTCACTTATATTTCTGACAATTCCAGAGTCTCAGGGTCATGTGATACCTTTTGCCACCTTCTGACAAGCAAAGTTGATGGGGAAGCCAGAATCACTTAACAACAAAGTTATTAACAACTGCAATGGTTCACTTAACAATGGTGGCAAGAAGGGTCATAAAATGGAGCAAAACTCACTTAACTGTCTCACTTAGCAACAGAAATTTTGGGCTCAATTGTGGTCATAAGTCAAGAACTACCTATACATGGAGATTGAAGAAGGGTTGAGACATGGTTTTAAGACAGTAATCAATAGAAAAGTGCTGTCTTATTTATATTACATAAAATGTTATTCTAAAAAAAATATTTTTTAAAAAAGGTTCTTTTGAAACAAAAATATTGAATTTGATCACAATTGTAACATACACAGTATAAACACACTAAAAGAAGTCTTATTTTGAAAAAATATAAAATTTCATTCTTTAATTCATAGGGATATATATATATTTCTTAAAATATATATATTTACCTGGATATTTATAATCTTTCAAATTTATTGAAAGCTTTCCAGTAGAAATCTCTACCAGACTTAGTAAAAAATCTCCACATAGCAAAGTCAATCTTTTGCTTTTCTGCCGGTTTTCACTGTTACCACTCTTCTTTGCATGAAGCAGTACCACACAAGTTATTTCATGCCATGCCAAGAAAGGGGACAGATGGGTAACTGCTGTAATGGCTTTTGCCTTATTCCTCTTCACTTCAGAGTCTTTTCCATTGCACTTGCTTTCTTCATTAAAGCAACTTAACTTGATTCTTTTAGGCAATGGTTCCAAGTGCCAATATGATAGAGGCTCAGCCTCTGAAGCTTTTGTCACTGTAACTACTCTACAGTGGCATTTTGATGGAGAAAGTGAATGGCACTTCTGGCCAATTATCAGAGATAAACTGCCATCACTGAGTTGCCTGTTTCAAAACAAAAGAACACAATGTAAACAAATACTGTATATTTATAGCTTTTGTAGTGTACTATGCTCTTGTGTACAGATAGTTCTTGACTTACAACCATTTGTTTAGTGACTTTCAAAGTTCAAGTGCAACTGAAAAAAGTGTCTTATGATTGTTTTTCACAGTTTACGATTGTTGAGGCATCCCCCAAGGTCACATGTTGAAAATTTGGACACTTGGCAACTGGCATATAACTCAATAACTGTCTTGCTTAGTAACATAAATTTTGGACTCAGCTGTGGTTGTAAATAGAAGACTACCTGTATTTGATATTTATAATTCACAACTGTTTTGTGTCAACTTTTGTTAAATACAATGTAACAACTGCAATGTATCTTCAATTTTTACTGATAAGATGTATCTTATAACATTTTGTCTTGAAATACTTTTACATATTTATATATCTAGACTTTTTTATTTTGGAATTCAGGCTTCAATCATATAAATGCCACCAATGATATATGTTCAATTTTGGAATTCAGATTTTGACTATATAAATGCTGCCAATGATTCAATGTGATTGTATAGAATTTAAACTACTCACAAGTCAAATGTTTCCATGATTTCTACTCCAACTATTAACTGGTTATCCACCACACGATACCAAATGTTTTTTACAATTTGTTTTTCATCTTCAGTTGGAGTCAATGCACCATTATGAAATTCTTCCTCTCTTTCATCCCAAAGAGAAATAAGATTTTCCTTAGATGGAAAGATGATTTTTTAAAAAAATATAAAGCCAAGTAACTTTTTGTCTAATGAGAATTTATTATTGTTACAATTGTGGGACTCAAAATGCATTTTAACTAATATATAAACTTGAGGATCAACTAAAATTACCACAGTAAGATACACATTTACAGTAGATACATGCAATTTTAAATCATCCTTATCAAGTATTTATACCCATTCTGATTTTCCCCCTCAATTTCAAATTGAGTAAACTGCGCTATACAAGTGCCCAGGCGATACGATTCCATATAAACTATTAAAAAGTTATCATTATCCTCAATATTATAAATATGTGCTATTGGCAGGCACAATATTTCAGGATCTCTGAACATTATAGCAACAATTTTTCAACCAGCATTCTGTTAAAAATTAGTTAAACTTGTTTAACTGGATCCATTATTATTTTTGCTTTTGTTACTAGAAACGGCAAGTTCTATACCTACCGGTATGTAATAGGGGAAAAAATTACCCACCATTTTTAACATTGCTGCAAAATACCTTTTTGATCCTAGGAATTCTTTGTTTCCTATCTTGAACAAGATCTAATAATGCATGACAGCTTTCAATCAGAACTTTTTCTTTGAGGTGTAAATGTTGTTGAATGGCTCGAACAGATGCAAAACCAGCCTATATAAGAGAACAGAGGGTTTCTTATAAGCATCATGGTAAGTATTTTCTTCCTATTTTTATTCATATAGTTTAAGAATTGCTTAGGTTAGAAATCTGGCTTTTAGACTTACAGAAACGTATTTCTAAACTCAAGTAAAATAATATATATTTAGTCATGCTTATAGCTGTGAATAGTGGCTAATGTTCTACATATATAGTAGCTGGACTGAAAACATGTCAAAATACAAGTTTCATTAAATAAAAAAAATGTATATCCAAGAAAAAGATGCTACACACCAACCTGTAATCGTGCTTCAAGTGCTTTGATAGTAAGAAGGCGATTCTCTTGTATCTCTTCAGCAGAAGACAAGACATTTCCATAGTTTACATTACTCTAAGAAAAAGCAATACTAATTAAACACCAAAGATTTACAGAGCACTCTGTGAAGTGGAGAACATCACAAGAACCCAAACATAAATTTAAGATCTTTCCACAGGGAAACTGAAATTAATCACACCCCTTCTGGTCAGGCAGCAGAAGAGACTGACACTGCTTTGTGTGCACCCCTGTATATTACAGAGGAGGAGACAAAAAAAAAATCCCACCCACTCCCACACCAGATATACCTTATATTTATTTCCTAACTGTTTGAAATATGCTGCATGTAGTTGCAATCTGATTTTTGATGTAACATGGATTAGGTAGGAGGGGAATCACAATTTTAAAAAATATTCTAAAGATGCCAATTACACTACTAACAATGTATAGTAATTTAAAAGCTTGAAAAGGAGACATACACAGTGGCCAAGTTCAATCAGAATGCTAAATCACACAAAACTAAATAGTGTATCTTGGACTTATGTGTTACTATCTATATAGCTATATCAAATAAATCCAACCTTGTCTTTTAGAAACAAAAATGAAAGCTTAGTATGTCATTCAAGCCCTAATCTTTAGAATTAGATGAGGTAAACCATGATAGTCTCATGCATAAGTTACAGAATTAACTTTATGCTATTCAATAAGTCATAGTTAAGATTAAACACAGGCTATGTTTATATACTGTACCATAAGGTGCCATAATGTGTTTTGTTAGTTTTAACTTAACATGTGTGATTCATTCCACTGTAGTTTATATGCGGTTTATTTCACTATGCTATTACTAAAATATGAGAACCTGAAATAAAACACAAATGGAAGCTTTGAACTACTTGTACTTGTATTGGAGATGGTGACTGAAATCTACAAGCCCAATGCTTAGAAATACTTTGTACTGGAATAATAAACCATACCTATCTAATATACCTATCTAATCCATCAATTAATCAATCTCTTTAAGCTGACAGAATAATATCAGACCTTAAATCATTTCAATCTATTAGACAGAATTCAAATTTCATCCAGTTAATTATCATAACTAATAACATCAATGTCATCAAACACATCATCTTATTAAATTAACTCAATTAATTAATTCAATCCAAATCTAAAACATCTCTTCAATTTTCTTCATTCCATTACATAATAATTTTCATACAAATAAACCTATCATTCTAAAAAATACATTCTTAATATTCTAGATTACCTTTAATCCATTATATAAAAAATATCTCATTTTTAGGCAAAAATATTGATCTATCCTATACATATCTAAATGTATATATCTATCTATCTATTCTATACATATCTAATCCATCAATTAATCAATCTCTTTAAGCTAACAGAATAAATAAATAAAAACATTAAATATTAAAGCAATAATCTGCATAATTCTTTTTAAAATAAACCTTTCCCAATTATTTGTAGCACATCTTACCTCATAATTAATATTTCCAAAATCTGCTATTTGAAATGCCTTTAGTGTTTCTGAAATAGAGTCACTCTTTAAAAATACTAAGATTTGTTCAGTTCCAATACCAGCAAAATCATCTACCAGAACAGATTTCACATTCTTCCAGCAAGAAGCCACCTAGAACATAAATCAGATTAGTTTAGTCACTTTGTTGAAGAATGAAATAAGATTGGTTTGGCATGATCTGTTTTTAACAAACCCATGCTGGCTATTAGTTATAACTTTGTTTGCTTCTAGTTGGTCACAGATCTGTTTTTTGATTATCTTTTCTAGGATCTTCCCAGATATTGATGTTAAACTGATTGATTTGTAGTTTCCTGCATCCGTTTTTTCCCCCCTTTCTTTTTTCGGAACAAATTTTATTGGTTTTTTAATTCTTAAGACAAAGTACTCAGGACACACCGTGGTGCTGGGGTAATCAAACATCCTAGAACAAAACATACATAGTTCAATCAATACATCAAGTATTCCCTCTCTTTTCCCCTCAAATAGTATAGTATATTTAAAATATCAAATTCTAGCTTAAATTTAATCAACCTGGACCTGTTTTAAAGCTTTGTAAATTTACAATACCGTAATCAAATTAACTTTAAATAAAAACATTATCAGTTCAGGTATCCCTTCCAAATATGTTCTAGCGCCTTAATTTTATCATAAATCTTATTTATTTCTTCTTCCACTAATCTCCCCTATTTAAAACATACCTACTAATTCTGTAGCAAACTCTTTTACTGTAGTACATATTTCTTCTTTAGCCTCATAAATCTTTTCCAGTATAAGTTTACAGTTTAAATGTGATTGAGGCTTCTCCATTTTAACAATAGTTGAAGAGAAATCCTTTTTTCTTTTTCTTTTTTTTCTTTTTTAGTGGAGGCTACAGTTGAAGAGTATCCACCCCCACAAATCCCACAGCTGGCTCAAATTATCTTTTCTCTTGAAAAATAGTTTGAAGGCCAAAACCATCTCATCTCCAAATAGTCAACAATTACAATATTAACTTTTGACCAGTAGATGTCCTCAGTAAGCTAAAAAGTCTGTTTCAAACGCCATTTTTCCCTTTTTTTCTATTTTTTAAAGAGAGAGTGGAAAAAGAAATACTCTCCCAATATAAGATAATAATACCGCTCCCCCCCCAAAAAACATTTTTTTCTGTACCTCAACGTGAATAGAGATAGAGTATAGTCTTTAAAAAAGTTTTATTCTGTCCTTTTATAGAACTCCTTTGTTCCCACACATACAAAAGCCGCTTTTTCCAAACAGGGAAATAATTCCAATGAAGCTTTTACAGGCAAAAACAGCATAGGATGAAGAGAGGAATAAAAGGGGTCTCACCCGGATTATTACGCTTAGATGTCAGTGTGACTTTCGGCTGGTGCAGCAGGGTGATCGGCCTCGTGTAACCGGGAGGTTACACGAGGCTGGCTACAGGGAATCGTCAGCGCTTCTCTGAGTGAGGGGTTCTTACCAGCCGCCTTGAAAGAGGCGGTGGTGAGGCCCCTCCTCAAGAAGCCCTCCCTGGACCCGGCTGTTTTGGCCAACTACCGTCCTGTCTCCAACCTTCACTTTCTTGCGAAGGTTGTTGAGAGTGTGGTGGCACGACAGCTCCCTCAGCACCTGGAAGAAACTATCTAAACTCGCGCCAGTCCGGCTTCCGGCCTGGGCACAGCACGGAAACGGCATTGGTCACGTTGGTTGATGATCTCTGGAGGGCTCGGGATAGAGGCTGCTCCTCTATCCTGGTCCTGCTAGATCTCTCAGCGGCTTTCAATACCATCGACCATGGTATCTTGTTGCACCGGTTAGAGGGGTTGGGTTTGGGGGGCACCGTCTTACGGTGGTTCTCCTCCTACCTCTCGGACCGGTCACAATTTGTGTTGGCAGGGGGGCAGAGGTCGACCTCGAGGGTGGGGTTTCATCAGTACGCAGATGACACCCAGTTGTATATCTCCACCCTGGACCACCCCAACGATGCCGCGGAAGTGATGTCCCGGTGCCTGGAGGCCGTGAAAGTCTGGATGGGGAGGAACAGGCTTCGACTCAACCCGTCCAAGACTGAGTGGCTGTGGTTTCCGGCGTCACGACATAGCCAGTTGGCTCCATCCCTGGCTATCGGGGGCGAGTCATTAGCCCCCGTGGAGAGGGCCCGCAACCTGGGCGTCCTCCTGGATACTCAGCTGTCTTTAGACGACCATATGACAGCCGTGGCCAGGGGGGCTTTTCATCAGGTTCGCCTGATACGCCAGTTGCGCCCCTTTCTGGATCGTGACGCTCTACGCACGGTCACTCAAGCCCTCGTTGTCTCCCGCCTGGACTATTGCAATGCTCTCTACATGGGGCTCCCCTTGAGGTGCACCTGGAGGCTCCAGCTAGTTCAGAATGTGGCCGCGCGGGGGATCCTGGGGGCCTCTAGATACTCCCATGTAACACCTCTCCTGCGCGAGCTGCACTGGCTGCCTGTGGCCTTCCAGGTGCGCTTCAAGATGTTAGTAACAACCCTTAAAGCGCTCCATGGCAATGGACCTAGGTATTTGCAAGACCGCCTCCTACCAAACACCTCCCTTCGACCAGTCCGCTCCCACAGAGAGGGCCTCCTTAGAGTGCCGTCGGCCAGACAATGCCGGCTGGCGACCCCCAGGGGGAGAGCCTTCTCTGTGGCAGCTCCTGCCCTCTGGAATGACCTACCCCCCGACCTACG